TGAAGGTTAAAACCCACCAAAACAAGATATATTTTCTGAAAGCAGAGACCCTGGAGAATAAAATTATTGTAGTTGCAATTTTTTTTTATGTTGCATGATGTTAGTGCAAGTTCATGTGTGATTCAATCGTCATTTTCATACGTAGGCGCACTTTTACCTTCATGTGAGCATGTCCATGGGAAAAAGGGGACTTCAAAAAATCTTTTGGGTGTTTTTCTTTTTTACTTTACTTTATTGTTACCACAAGGGGGCTAACAAGCCACCTATGCGATGGCACAATGGAAGTGACAGGTTCTCTTTAAGGTGACATCAGTGGATGTATTAGACGTCTTCACTCCACTCACTGAAACCACAAGTTATGAAAAGCTTGTAGTTTCTGTCTTTATTCATGAATGTTTGCTGACTGTCCTCTGTTTTCTCCCGCTGACATCTCCAAGGATGCCCCAGTCGCCCAGGAGGGGCAGCAGAGCCAGGAAATTGTGGCAGGGGGAGGGCCTACATGTGAGATTGCCTTAACATCGCCTGACCTATGTAATGTTTTTGCCTGAACATTGCCCGACCTGACCTGTCACAACTCTGCCTGAACATTGCCTGACCTGACCTGTGTAACAACTCTACCTGAACATGACCTGACCTGACCTGTGTAACAACTCTACCTGAACATGACCTGACCTGTGTCACAACTCTGCCTGAACATTGCCTGACCTGACCTGTCACAACTCTGCCTGAACATTGCCTGACCTGACCTGTCACAACTCTGCCTGAACATTGCCTGACCTGACCTGTCACAACTCTACCTGAACATGACCTGACCTGTGTCACAACTCTGCCTGAACATTGCCCGACCTGACCTGTCACAACTCTGCCTGAACATTGCCTGACCTGACCTGTCACAACTCTGTCTGAACATTGCCTGACCTGACCTGTCACAACTCTGTCTGAACATTGCCTGATCTGACCTGTGTAACGTCTTTGCCTGAACATTGCCTGACCTGTGTAAAGTCTTTGCCTGAATATTGCCCGACCTGACCTGTCACAACTCTGCCTGAACATTGCCTGACCTGTGTCACAACTCTGCCTGAACATTGCCTGACCTGACCTGTGTAACAACTCTACCTGAACATGACCTGACCTGTGTCACAACTCTGCCTGAACATTGCCTGACCTGACCTGTGTCACATCTCTGTCTGAACATTGCCTGATCTGACCTGTGTAACGTCATTGCCTGAACATTGCCTGACCTGACCTGTGTCACAACTCTGCCTGAACATTGCCCGACCTGACCTGTGTCACATCTCTGCCTGAACATTGCCTGATCTGACCTGTGTAACGTCTTTGCCTGAACATTGCCTGACCTGACCTGTGTCACATCTCTGCCTGAACATTGCCTGATCTGACCTGTGTAACGTCTTTGCCTGAACATTGCCTGACCTGACCTGTGTCACAACTCTGCCTGAACATTGCCCGACCTGACCTGTGTCACATCTCTGCCTGAACATTGCCTGATCTGACCTGTGTAACGTCTTTGCCTGAACATTGCCTGACCTGACCTGTGTCACATCTCTGCCTGAACATTGCCTGATCTGACCTGTGTAACGTCTTTGCCTGAACATTGCCTGACCTGACCTATGTCACAACTCTACCTGAACATGACCTGACCTGTGTCACAACTCTGCCTGAACATTGCCTGACCTGACCTGAGTCACATCTCTGCCTGAACATTGCCTGATCTGACCTGTGTAACGTCTTTGCCTGAACATTGCCTGACCTGACCTGTGTCACATCTCTGCCTGAACACTGCCTGACCTGTGTAATGTCTTTGCCTGAACATTGCCTGACCTGACCTGTGTCACAACTCTGCCTGAACATTGCCTGACCTGACCTGTGTCACATCTCTGCCTGAACATTGCCTGACCTGTGTAATGTCTTTGCCTGAACATTGCCTGACCTGACCTGTGTCACAACTCTGCCTGAACATTGCCTGACCTGACCTGTGTCACATCTCTGCCTGAACATTGCCTGACCTGTGTAATGTCTTTGCCTGAACATTGCCTGACCTGACCTGTGTCACAACTCTGCCTGAACATTGCCTGACCTGACCTGTGTCACAACTCTGCCTGAACATTGCCTGACCTGACCTGTGTCACAACTCTACCTGAACATGACCTGACCTGTGTCACAACTCTGCCTGAACATTGCATGACCTGATCTGACCTGTCACAACTCTACCTGAACATTGCCCGACCTGATCTGAACTGACCTTTGTCATAACTCTGCCTGAACATTGCCTGTCCTGACCAGCCTGAACATTGCCTGACCTGAGACTTAATGGTTCACAACTTGCATTGCTTCTTCATATTACCTTGTATGTTTTTTGACCATACTCCTTCCTATAGAATTGGTACTTGAGTCACCTCTCAGTAGATTAACTGTCATCAGAGGGTCAAGCCTATAGGGGCGACTAGGAAACATCATGCACTGAAATCCATACCGAGGGGTT